TTAAACAGTTTTCAAGTATCTTTGTACTGTAAAAAATACTGTAAAAAAAATCTAATTTATACATATAAACGTAAATTAATAACACAAATACAATTAGTGTAAGTTTCTATATAATAAAAGTAATAAAACACTAAGAAAAAAAAGTTAACATTTTCGTGAGCAAATGTTACATGTGACATGTGTTTTTTCGATATTAATTGGTTATAAAAAAATTTGATAGCACGAGAGAAGAAATACATATTTCTATAATGAGATACATCTCATTAATTGTATATAAAAACTAAAATAAACAATTTATTTGTTAGGAATAAAATTTTATTTCGCTGTATTTATAAATAAAGATTTATTTCAATGAACATTTTTTACAAATAAATTTTTAAATATCTTTTTCTTATACGGATGTTTGTTGCAAATTATATAATTTCTATGTCTGTTGCTCATGTAATTTATAATTCTTGAGTGAATGAAGTTATCGATTATGGTGATTACACCATTGCATTCAACAGCGACAGAGTAGAATGATTGCGAATACTAAGGGCGATTATCTTCGCCGGTGCGAGAGATGCGAATATACAAACCATTTTAAATGAATCAGCGTTTAAAATTGTAATCCCCCTGGGCGATAAAACGTTTGTAAACTGTGTATAATACTGCCTGACTATGACTATCGTGGAAGACGATCGGATATCGGTAGAAGAATATACAAAATAGATTTGATGTAATCAATTAACGGCGATTACATCAAATCTATTTTGTGTTTTTTTGCTATCTATCTTTATATTGCTATATCTTAAACAAAATAATCGTACAAGTGCTTATATCTTAAAAAATAAAAAAAGAGAAGCATAACAAGTGTATGAAATTATGAGAAAAAACATAACTCTATGATAACATTAATTAATATAGTTCCTTATTTCCTCGTATCATTTATTGGTACAAATTTCCGTTAATTATGAATTATCGCGAAATTTTTTATGAACAATCGATATTTAAGAACGAAAAAAAGAGAAACACTCCAAATTTATCAATCTCATATAAATTGAAATTGCAGTTTCTGTTTTATTCGCATCACTAAATTTATCTTTTGTTTTGAAGACGTAGAAGCAGCTTAATTATTATTTTTTTTAAATTCAAAGTAAATGTATAAGCACGGGAGAAATAAAATATAAGACGATGTGTTAGAGAAAAAAAAATACGTGTAAAAACTAAAATGTAAAACGTTTGTTCATGTTTCTTCTTTTTAGCATGATTAGAAATTACAATTCGTTAGAAAATACAAGAGACATTGTATTATTTTGCCAAGACCGCATCTCTCGGTCTGATTATTTTCTGCTCCAACTAATCGCACTTTTAGATCGGCGATCCTTTTCAACCAGCTCTCTGCACTGGTTTGACCCAGACCGCTTTCCGGCGAACGTGCATCACATTTTTCAACCTTGTGCGCGTGTTACAAGAACGCGTACGTGGCGACGAGTGCATTAATTCACCGAGACGTTCACCGGGCTCTATTACGTCGCGGATTTTCGATCGCTCCGACATTGCTGTAATCGGTATGATCGGCCAACCACGCATATAAGTCGCGTGATTTGTTCAATTGACACGTTCATTAAAGCAAATTAAGTGGTATATCGCGTTTCGCATCTTATTATTTTACTTCGTGAGACTGCACCATTGATAAATCTCCGCTGCGTTCTTTTTCTTTCATATCTCCACAGATAGATTCAAACATAATTCATGTACGACAGCATTGATTGAAACTTTGTTTAAGCGCACTTATAAAAAAATAGCAACTAAAGGTGACAATATTATACAAGTTTGATATGTAGAATTATGTCCATAATTGAACAAATTAATGTCCATATATATAGTTGAATAAACTATTTTATAGTTGCTATAATTATAAAATAATTTATTCAACTACACGTAGGGGAGACCGGGGACAAAAGACATTTTGACTTTGAAGTGTTATAACAGTTAAAATATGATACTTACATTAAAAAAAAAGTATGTATCTTTAGATATAGAATTTATTTAGATATAAAATTTTCTTTGGTTTAATTATTTTATGTAATTAGAAAAAAGTTATGTTTGTTTAAAGACTATGAGGAATTTTGTTACAACCGTCCCAACCCCCAGGGACGATTATAACAGTAGAGGGGGATAATTGTACCACATTTGTCAGAGGCACGTAATATAACAACATAAGTCATACTCTTTCTTGCAGCTGCATAAATGGATATCTCGTCTTTCATAACTTTTTTAAATGTCTCTGTTTGTATAAAGACACTTCTTTTATATGTATAGTTATATTTGTCTCTTATCTGTCTTGTGTTTTCTTGTTAATGGGATTCTATGAAGAAAAATACAAATAACATTGTACAAAATAATACTAAAATAAAATTAAGTAAATTTGGGAATGATTGTAATGTTACAACTGACCCTAGGTATTGATTAGGTTACTATTGTCCCCTAATGATATTTTATGATTTATAGTAAATTTTTTAAATAAAAACCTAAATAAAAATCAACCCAAATGTACAAATTATCAACGCAGATAATCATTAAAACATATTATGATAATACACTATACCTTTATATTATAAAGAAAAAAAAATATTTTAGATTTTATGCACGCAATAAAACTTACTTGATGCATGAAAAAAGTAATTTTTGCTCCTGCACTCGTGCACGTTCCGCGAAAATCAGCATGTAACGAACGATTCAATGCCGATCTGTCTACAGAATTTTACCATGCAGCCGCATACACATATCTATTATAGTTTAAGAAATATTAACGATGTTACTATTGTCCCGTGTTACTTTTGTCTCCGGTCTCCCCTACTCTCTAAAACTTTTAGAGTGAATCAAGGAAGACTGAAGACTGAAATCTCACTCTTAAATATTGAAAATTGAGTCATTCTTTCTTAAAACTGGGTCAATTATCATTCTTTAAAGTGAGGCTCCATTCGAAAGAATTTAGAGAGTATATTTGTTCTAGATATAAAACTTGTATAATTGTGTCACCTTTACAATTGCTACTATTATGTCTTTTTCTCTAAATGCAATCTTCTAGACACGTGAATGTATGATCGTCAGAAAACCTTTATCTAAAAAGATAAATAATCAGCTGAGGATTCAGTGCCGAACTTGAAGCCTGGCATAGCGGACGAAATTAACGATCGCAAAATAGCAAGTGAATCAAGGACATACATAGATATATCTGGTTCTAATTACATTCCTTGGCACGTTATAATGTGTAGAATACTTCGGCATCTCATGCATTTTGATTTTATTGTAGTTCCGTGTCAAATTGATGTTCCATGAAATCGAATCGCGGAGGATACCGAGATCTGCATATTAACGTTGAGTTACGTGAACGATACTTTTATATTTTACTTCCTTCAGCGCCTGTTTACTGTTGTACGTCGTTAAGAATCGCCGCTTAGATTTTAGAGAAATAAAAACGAAAATAATCAAGATGTGATCTCAAATAAAGAGAGAGAGAGAGAAAGAAAGAGAGAGGAATTATCGAGTTCCTCTACGAGGAAGCGTTACTTCTGCCATCTAAAATCAAAATGATGAAATAAAATAGATACATCAAATCTAAAATATATATATATTATATTTATATACTTATAATATACAGAATGTTTCGATTTTCGCAAATCAATACCACAATAAGAAGATTCTAAAAAAAAAAATAAATTTAAATATTTGTCATTTTTGTTCCAAGTAGTTTTTGAGGTATAAAAATTAAAAATTGGCTAATTACAGATTACGATTAAATGGCTGTTTACCTGTGAGTCGCCACGCACCAATAGGTGGTTTCCATTTGATGACACAAATCGACACAAGTCGACGTAAGTATCGGCCTATCTTTGTTACTCTCCGAAGAAGATGGAATGATGTTTGTGTCGACTTGTGTGACTAAATGGAAAGCACCCACTATTAACGCTATCGATGTGCGACTCACGGACAGACAACCATTTATCCGTAATCTGTAATTGGTCAATTTTAAAACTATTGCTCAAAACAAAAATGGGGGATACCTCTTTTCAACTTCTTTTTAACTCCTTTTAACTTATTTTTTTTTTGAAAATTTTCTGGCTATGACATTTTGATTCGTCAAATTCGGGACTCCCTGTATGTGTATATATTTTTATTCACAAGGAAATATTAATACAATATGCAAAATGCGTAACTTCCAACACTTAAGGAAGAGAACAGGAGATTAAAGGCGATGTAGAAAATTAATTTGTATAATTCAAATTTTATTAAAAATATAGGAGCTTTCTATCATTGAAGACAGGCCCAAAAATTTTTGGACCTTACGTTTTACCACGATTGCATGACTTTTGAGTAAGTAATTTGTTAGTCACCTAGTCATTTTCCTCAAGACACTTTGCTCTTCAAGTGGAACCTAAAATAGATATTTAAAAAGTATTGTTACACAATGGTAACAACTGCATAAACGTGAAACTTTAATCTTCACGTAAACATTATTATTTATGTTGCTACTATTTTGTTATAACATTTTTTAAACATCCCTTTTTAAGTTAAATCTATAAAACAAAATATTTTTAACAAATTTTATTACAAATTAATTTTTTATGTTATGAATATGATAGTAAATAATATTTAAACAAAGAATTATGCTTATTTATTCCTTTTCCTGAAATAAATTCGCTTTTGCCAATTAAACCATACAAATCTTCTGTCTCCTCTTAAAGTTTAACAAGATTCAAACTATACTTTTTTATTAGCCACTATACTTGAGAACGAAACAATCATATTACTACGAGATATCCGTCAGGAAGGAATAGACATTTCAAATGGAAATGTTACATCTCGAGTCTCATATATCTGAATAAACGTAGATTTTTTATATCCTGCTTTTATTTTTATTTATCCTCGGTACTCCATTTTTTGAACGATCGCACCTCCGTTTTGTGCGATCGCGCGATCGGGAAATCTTCCTATTCATTCCGATTTCATTGCAGCTCCGGACAGAGCAGCGCAAGGATCAAGCCTGATGTCCGTATGGTCGACCAGCACCGGACGAAATTCATTGTTTGGCGCGGAGAGCAGCGGAGCGGTGCTCCCCTCTTCGCATTTGCCGACCCACGTACACGTGGTGCACGAACACCTGCGCAACGCTGACGGCCACTGCTTTCACAAACCGTTCCACGATCACTGTCAGGTCGGTAGATTTGCCTTAGCTGATCCTTCTCCACGGCAGAGATCCTTTCTTTTTCATCCGCTCCGCGAGTACGTGCCTATCGCGTATATGTATATGCGTTTTTTTTCCCTCCGTTCATTCTGTGCTGTTGCCACTTTGACTACCTATATTTTACTTCGCTTTTCATTAGTTGTTTTCCGATTTACACCGATTCTCAGATAATTCTCACTTGTAACGTCATCATTCAGCTGAATGCGCGTTCCTTTTGCATTCTGACAAGTGAGATTCAACTGAGTTTTTACCTATAATCTGTACAAGATCGAGACCGCGTGTGCTTTAGTGAATCTCGTAAACTCACTTCAGAGTGAGGTTATGAACCTGTGTTGACATGGGATAACTTTTTATCAAAGTAAACAAGTAGTGACGTCATTAATCTGACAAGGAAAGTTTCACAACAATCCGGAACCGATTTGATCCTCCATGAAATATGTTGTTAAACACGAAAATCTAAGAGACACGTATTTTTTTATACACTGAAAAAAAATATAGTCAATTTTAATAAATATTTAGTTCAATACTGCCAACTAAACATTCACTTACAGTAAATAAATATTTGTTTAGTAAAAAGAATGATTGTTAAATCAAATTAATGTTTCTTGTAACAAATAAATATATCTTTATATTTAATAAATATTTAGTTGACAGTAAGTTGGCGGTATTGAACTAAATATTTGTTAAAATTGACTATATTTTTTTTCAGTGTACGTGCGCTAACTCATGTTTAAGGGGTGTTTCATCCCTTAAACATGAGTTAGCCTACGTATAAAAAAATACGTATCTCTTAGATTTTGTGAATAAAATATTCAGCTCACACACACTTCAGACTCAGTTTCACTTGTGTGTAAATGGAAAGCAACTATTATGTCATTATTATTCTCGTTCCCGGTATTCACTTCACGATTGATTTGAGCTAATTAATGTTCTTTTTATTATTGCCGGGAAAATTGCAGGATGAGTGATTTTCCAATGTTAAAGACTTTATTTCTCTCATATTCGCTGAGAATGATTTGTTAACATAAGTGTTGAAATTTTAAGTTTCAAATACATATAATGATACATGCAATATAATGGTATCTATATGTGTGAGATATAAATATTTGCGATATAAATAGTGAATGTTTCACTGAATTTATTTCATGTTTACAACATTCAAATAAGCATTTTCTATTTCTGTATAGTGATTATATGAAATATTTACTTCTTCTAAATAATTATTTACAATTATCTATTTATTATTTCAATTTATATTTATTTCTATCAACACTCGATATTAAGAAACGCATTATATATGAAAATCATGCATTTCGCGGGTTTTCTCCATGTCCAGATCCATTCTTGGAATACCAACGTTTCGTGAATCTTGCAGTCCACTTCATCAGAGCGAGGAGCAGCTTGATACTGAATATCAAACGATTATATGTGTAAAAGTAAAATTCTCTCAAATTAGAATTGTTTGTTTATTAAACAGAGTAGATTTAAGAAATCGATAATAAAAGAGACGAATGAAATGATTATTACGTTTTAAATAATTATTAATTCTTCTCTTTTATTATCGAATTCTCTAATTTACTCTGTGTAATAAACAACAGTCGTTTCTATTTCTGGAGAATACTTTTAAACATGTAGTAATACGTTTCTCATAATATTCGTGTATTGATAGAAATTATTAAGATTTGATAGAATTATTAAGTTTATTTTTTTTAATCAATAAACTTATTTTGCTTACATAAAAATATTCGATTATTTTTTTATCTTTCATTACTACGTAAAATAACGTATTAAATCGTATAAGCTTTTATCAAGTTTAATTATTGCGTAATTACAAAAATGAGAGAGTAGAGAGAAAAATTAAGATTAGCTCAATTTTCTAATTTATATATATATGTATATAAAATGCACATTTCTTATGTTTAAAAAATCGTAGTCTGTTATCAAAATATTTTCCGATACATTACTGGAAGTAATGAAATGTTCGATAATAAGATCGTAGCAGGATCAATATACATTAGATTTCTTATGATTCTAATACGTAGAACTGTTTCTATTGAGTACGTAATAATAGATCTGTTTTCTTCGTATTCGTAATAATACCTTCAACGCCGCTTTAAAGCAGGAATTTTTAAAACGGTGTAAACAATACCGATTTTACATGATAACGAATTTAATTAATTTATTAATTAGTCAGTAATAATATTAATGTCGGTATATTATTGATTAATTTTCACTGAGAGGAGAACTGTAACTATAATTGCATGTTACATAATATGATTATTATTACTATAATGTTAGCAATAATAACTGTATGTATAGTTCTCATTCAATATATATTAACAAATATATATTGTTGACAACTGAAAATGACTATAATTACCCAGATAACATTTATGTTGCGTAAGAATATCCAAAAGATGTTTTTTTAGATATCTTATGTCTAAAAGACGTCTTTTAGATATCTTGCAACATGCATGTTATTTAGGTATAGTTATTATTACTATATAAAATAATTGCAATTACTTAGTTAAATATTCTTTGAAACAACAATATAATATATAGTTATTATTAATATTAACAGCAGTAAAATAATCATAATTGTAGTAACAAGTAATTATAGTTACAGATGCCAAAATTTTTTTTCTCTGAGTTCAATGTTCAATACCAATATAATTAAAGTTTGTAGCGTTGTGGTTTTATAAAAATAGAAGTATTATTCACATATCGATATACAATTACCAGTGAAATTATTTCAATATCTAGATTGCTTTAAAATAATACATTACTTCAAATTCGATCATACGATTGGTTGAGCGTCAATGCGATACCGTCAGCTTCACTATGGTTAATCTCATTCACGGTTGACAAATGCATGTTTTTTAAAAATCCTTTTCACTTATAGCATTTTTCATTGGCAAAACTAGTGCGCACTCAGTGCACATTAAAGCTGTTGTACACTATTCTAATCTAAATGTAAAAATATATCTTAATTGATAAAGTGCTTAAAGTATATTTTATCAAATAGCACAATAAAATGTATTGAATATTTCGCGGTTTAATTCGTTTGTATATTTTTATTAAACGTACATCTTTATGACGATTTGTGTACAACGGCTTTAAAGTGCACTAAGTGCACACTAGTTCTGCCAATGAAAAACGCTATTACGGATTATATGCTATTTTTTCGAACATCGTTATTACACTGACTTTGAACGCGCAATTAGTCGCATATTCTTCAATTCTTCACTTTGCATGTGTGTTACGTACTGATAATTATCCGGATGTCGTTCGTAACGATATCGTCGTAATATTGTACTTCCCCTTTTTTTTCTTTGTACGCCGCGAAGACTGAGTTGAGTTGCCTTTGTATTTCATGGCAATTTATGGCAAAGTGTTTTCATCGAATGAACAAAATAGTATTTTTGATATTACTGATATGTTTGTACATTCAATTATAATGTAGATTTCAAATAATGATAGTTAATTAATCTTTGTTATGGCAAGAAAATTTATGTGCATTCTTCGGGAGCTGCATGTCCGATTACTGTAAGCTTATTGCGATTAACAGGATAAAAATAGATAAACATACGTATCTGCAAATAATGATACAAGATATACGACGTTCTCGTTATGTATGCATCCTCTTTTTAACTTATTGGTATATGTAATGTGCTTTGCCGTGTGCTGATCGCGTGTTTATTATAATCACCTGTTTATTGTTCATGAAAAAAAAATTTGACGGAAGAAATGTAAATAATCTAAATAATGTGATTTGTATTATGTATGTACAAGTCGAAGCAATCTTAGACAACACAAAATCCAAAATCGGGACATAAAACATCTTAAAAGCGTCTTTTACAAAAAGGTCTTTCTTTAGTTCTAATTGTACGTGTATATATACATGTTGTCTGGTATACAACTCACGAGCAAGTGCAAATGTTTGAAAGTGTTTGCCTGTGTACATCGAGTTGTTGAAATACACAGATTGACATTGAATACATATATCTTTTTCTTAGCTTTAAACAAACAAAAGATAGTATTGTGTGACAACGTGTTTCTTTTTCGCTCGTCAGTCATTTCTCAAGACGTATCAAGACGCGATGATACATCTTGACGTAGGTAGAAAAAACAATATTATTTAATCATATATCATAAGTTGGTGTTTCTTGATATCACATTTATTAATATTTACATCCAATCGTCGGATTTGGACATGAAAGTAAAAATCATACGAAACGCTAAAAGAATCAAGAATATTCCTAAAGCACTCATTTTGCACATCTTGTGGCAAGATGTGCTTGTAAATGCCGCAATATTTTACAATGGGTGTATATCGTTCACACACTTTATTTTCCCTATACTTTTTTCGCGCATTTTGCATCCGGGTCATACTTTTTCATTATCTTCTATTTAACGTCTTGCTAACATTTCCGCCCGACCGGAAATCTCAATCGCGCGAAGATCGGCGATCGTAAATTAAATTGAGTCATCTTCCCGGAGAATATGTGAAACAACGAGTCACGATAAGTAAAGTCTCTCGTTAATGCATGCATCAGCGCAAGTGCTCCCTCGCACGCAATGTTCCTATGTATAATATGTGTGCATGTAAACGAGTATGTGTGTGTGCGTGTGCGTATGTGTGTGTGCGTGTGTGCGTGCGTGCACGTGTTTCTTCGTCCTCACGCTCGCCAGACCTCCCGCAAGACGCAGTCAGATCTCGCCGTAACGTATCAGCCACCGTTTTCGTTTCTACGTTTTTTCATTAATTTTCCTTATTATTTGTTTCGTTCAGCATCCATTGGTTTTTTGTCCTACTACTGCGGGACTTTTGGCAAGTTCTCCCATTGGCACCGACGTTGCCATCGATTTCTGGTACGTGCCTCTCTTTTTTACTCGCGTTTAAGCTTCCACGAAGAGTTTATTCCCCGTGAGATCGCAAGGTCAAGTGTCGCAGGCTTTATAGTATCCCTTCCTCCCCGCCCCTCTGTGAGACAATGAGAATGCGATCACATATCTCTTCCTACGATTGCGCCCTTCCATTCAGTCTAAACTAATTTCTTTCTGCGTTCGTTTTGTTCGTCACAGTCGACGATGTCGCAAGCGGGGGATGGCCTTCACACACCGGGCTACTTGTCCTGGAGAAAACTGCAGCTGAGCCGCGCGAAGCTCAAGGCGTCCAGTAAAACATCAGCCCTGCTATCCGGTTTCGCTATGGTAAGAAAACGTCGCTCGCGGAAGCGAAACGATCCTTCGTCGAACCATCAACAGCGGCGCGATAAGTTTTTATCACGATTTCTCTATATTCATAGATCGACGCGCGTCCGCATCCTCCGCGATTAATTAATCGAGCTCACCGTAATAGATTACATCGTTTGGTTTTGTAATCATTACACGGAAATGAAAAAAAAAAGCCTCTGTGAACTGAAGAGCATAATTCCGGAAGCGATTTGTATTGTTTGAACAAACTCATCAACGCGAATGTTTCTCTAACGAATATCTGCGTAAATAAAAAATACCTACGTGCGCGTATAAAATTGTAATACTTATTTAAATATTTTTATATCTTTTAATAAATTTTAATAAATTTTATTGCTTCCTAATCGAGTATGCGAGTTGGTGGAATCTGAATGCGTTTTTGACATTTATTTGGCATTTAACTTTTTATTACTCGCGTAATTTATCCAGAACATCAAATCGTTTATCAAGTCACTAAACGTATGCTTTTTATACACATTATATTTGGCGCAAATTGTTGCACGATTTAAAAACAATTTTTGCCTTTATTTATCTAAAGAAGTATAAAATTATCAATCTTTATTTAATTCTTAATTGTAAATCATTAAAGAAAATAATGAAAATTGACATATAATGTTTGAGTTAGAAACACTTTATGCAAGTAATTACGTTAAAAAAACCACGCGAGTAACGATAGTCCGCGTTTCTTGGTGATATTCGGATGATAAATACGCTGAAGTAATTTCTAAGACTCGACAAAGATCATTGTCCACAGGTCGCCATGGTAGAGGTGCAGCTGAATCCCGAAACGCACGTTCCACCGGAGATGCTGATCGCCTTCGCCGTATGCACGACCTTGCTCGTAGCCGTGCACATGTTGGCGCTGATGATATCCACTTGTATACTGCCGAATATCGAAGCCGTATGCAATCTCCATAGCATAAGCCTTGTGCATGAGTCGCCACACGAGCGTCTACATTGGTACATCGAAGTCGCGTGGGCCTTCTCCACGCTGCTGGGCCTTCTTCTATTCCTACTGGAGATCGCGATACTCTGCTGGGTGAAGTTCTATGACTTTTCACAGGTCGCTGCTTGGTCGGCCTGCATAGTGTTGATACCAGTGCTGATAATCTTTCTTGCGTTCGCGATACATTTCTATCGGAGTCTCGTTGCACACAAGTACGAAGTTACGGTATCCGGTATACGAGAACTCGAGTTACTCAAGGAACAGATCGAGTCTACAGATGTGGAGGGCAGAAATGGCGTGAATCTTTTGCAGACCGGAGTAACGCATATCGTATGAATCGGTCTTTGCAATTTTTCTTGCCGCCGAAATTGGACTCGCGAATTGAACGCGACAAAAAGAATTTCCGTTCCGCGGAACACGGCGAGAAAGAAAGATAGAGACAGAGAGGCAGAGATCTTTTTCAAGACAACGTGCTGCGACGAGCGCTTGCGATGTTTCTCGGAGGATTTTGCTAGGAAAGTCTTTCGAACGTGAACCATTCGAAGAACATGACAGACAATCGTTTTCTTCACACACATCGGCACACACGCGCTACAGATGTTGCGAAGATTCGGTCAACAGATAAGGATCTTCCTCTTCTTTTTTTTTATACGCGTGTTTCTCTGTGATGTAAATTAGTATAAGCGTGATGAGACTCCGCTCATCTGCACGATGCGCGCGTTACAAAAGCATCGTGTCGACTTCAGGAAGGGGATACGAAATTCGATAACATCGTTGTATATGTAGGCACAAAATACATTCCTTTATTCGCGTTGCGACTTAAAACGTAGAAAGAGTAGTATACTTTGACTATTACCAGATCCTTCTGCGTGTTATCGCCGTACAGCGTAAAAAGCGATAATATAATAGCCTGAATTATCGAGAGGTGACATGACTGGCTATGTACTCGAATGTACTTATCTTTCGAAAAAATGTGCTTATTCGAGAAACGCGATCGATTTTATATTTATTAAGTGTTGTGACGTTATACTAGGCAGGTATAACATTATATCTGACACACATTATTTCTGCCATCTCCGACAAACGAAAGTCGATATTTTTTCTTAAATAGATAGCTGTTTTGCTTATCATTTTTTTAGCGCGTCAAGTACATTACTCTCAAGTAAGTACATTGTATTCAAGTATTTTGACTGCCGTAAAAATAAGGAACGAAATATCAAAAAACGGCGACTCGGATGTGGGTACACGATATCACTCGAGATATTACATTTCGACGATGAATGAAAGTCGAAAACGTTCATACAGCACAGATCATTCCAGCAACATTGTAACAACGTTGTATACGTTCAAGTAATATTGTAGTAACATTGCAAACGTCCCAGCAATATTGCTGAAAGCTTCTGTGCTGTACGAACATATATACAAGGTATTCTATCTAACGATGATCACTCTTTATCTTTGGAGGGTTCTTCTTTGAGTTCCCCTATTTTGACTTTCCAGCTCACTATATAGGGCCACAATATCATGCGATGATAATAGTGTTAATCCTTCTCAGGGACACACTTAGTATGTATCACAAATTTTGTCTCGAATTAGCTTAAAGTAGTAAAGCTTCGAGATGAAGCTCGTCAGAACGCTACGGCCTTAAGCCTTTTTCAGGTTGTTAATTATTCCTGCTTAAGCAGGTTATTCACATCAGATACGGCAATATTGCCCCTTAATTAGCAACTAGATAGAACGGTGATATCCAGAAAACCGCGTTTATAAAGTACGTGTGGAATTGAATCCGTATCTTCAAATCGCAATTCGACCATCCTGGGCCTGAAGCCATACGTGCCACCATCTTTGTAGGATAAGATTGAATCCAAAAATATTCAGATAAAAGTATGGTCTGGAGGGGGATTTGTGCTTACCCTGCAAAGATGAAAGAGATACGTTGAGTGGGACATCATGTATATGTCCAATTATTTGTATATATCATTTTGGCGCGTGAAATGCGCTGATTGCTAAAATAAAAATTAAAAAATGAAAATCTCTTTATTAATTCTCTCTATCAAAATAAAAAAATCGTACGTATAAAACATGCACGCATTATATTTTCGCGCGTAGTTTACCGCGAACTCGAGAAAGGCCAGTGAAACGTGAAACATTATGTTCAAATTGATCTGAGAAGAGACGTAAACGAAACGTTACGCAATGCACTTATAAGTATATCGCTACTCGACTGTTTATCTTCGGAATGTGCAACATCGGATATAAAGCTGGCTGTCGGATGTCTTCTATCGTGCTGTTCACGCAGACGTCATTCTCCCAAAGACCTTCCTGTACTTGACGTCTCTCTAAATGATAGAAAACACCTCGACCTTCCTTCTTGCCATTTGTAAAGTGACCCTCGTAAAGATTACCGTTTTCTATGAAGATTTTAAGATTAATATTTATAGGAATTTCTTGAAGATATAAGTATGAAGCGCCTTGAATGAGGAATAATGTAATTTATAGTTCACAATTTTCGCAAACGCAAAGAATAAAATCAAACACAAGCTAAGGACGTTAAGGAAAATGTATCACTTTTTGTTCTATGTATTACGTAATTAAAAAGAAATTGAGAAAGACTTAAGCGGATTCATTCTGCGATGCAGTTCTAAATTCCACATGTATATCTACTTTTTTTATTTCTTAATTAATCGCAACCTTGAATGAGTATCCCTTCTCCATGATAACGATCGTTCAGCCACGTGCCCTGGTAATATCCGCTGCCGCACTTGTACCAAACCCGGCCGCAACCATCCCGCTTGTTCTCTCGAAATGCGCCTTCGTAGTAGCTGCCGTCCTTGTACCAATTACTTCCGAATCCGTGCTTCCTTCCCTTCGCCCAGTTGCCGGCGTACACCTTGCGCACGTCGCCGTCTTGTGTAATTTTACTGAGGACGCCGTAACCGTGTCTCTGGTCGTTATACCAGTCGCCTTCGTATATCCAACCGTGACTGCGAAGGAACGATTCCTAACGAAATGGCGAATGAAATATCGGCAGCTTGGATGTATATAATCTCGCGGGCAAGTAGGATATTATATAACAGTGTATGATATACACAGAATGGTTACCATAAGTTTATTACTAATTTTATTGTATTGCTCAGATAAAGAATTTGTATAGATAAAGATCTAATATACAAATATTTATATATCGACGCCTGTTACGAAGAGTAGTACATTTCATTTGTCTTACGAAAAACAGTATATTACATGATTCCGCGAAAAGAAGCACGTTTCAATTTAATTAACGAATATTATCACGTTGTGTATTAATTGATGCATTGTGTATTAATTAATACACATTCTGAACATTAAGAGAACTATCAAGATTACAAAATTTATATGATTCTTCGATTATTTTTGTAATTTTCTTAATTTCGTTTCTCTATCCCTTACTTTAATTGGTGATTAAAACGTAATTGATCCAGAAAAAGAGTATTATATATAATTCATCACAGAAAAGTTAACTTATATTAAAATTACATTTTTATAATAGAATTCTATTATAAAAATTATACTTTTTGTAAAAAAAATCTTACGATTATCATATTAAAAAAAATAATTTTTTACATGTTTTGTTCGTAATATAGAAACATTAGACGAAGCGAAATTGATATTATCGATTCATGTTAAATGGGCACTCGAGAAGAACTTCCAGTGAACATAAGGCCTGTTCTTTTTAGCTGAACTTCTTGCACGGTTCTCAACATGGAGAGAAAAGGAAGAAAGATGAACCATGCAAGAACTTTAGCTAAAAAGAACAAACTTATCTTCGTGATACCTGTTGACTCCTATACCTTTGCCCTCCCTTTTATCATTTCTCCATTCACCCTTATAATGCGCTTTAGTAATACGTTTCGTCTCGGGCAAATATATAGCGTGTCGCCAGCCGTTTCGTTTGCAAGCTTCTATTCGCCGTTCGCACCACGTGGCTCTCTGTGGTTTCAAGAACGGCATTGCGCCGAATATTCACGAAGGAATAAACTTCTTAATTTGTCATTTCACTGATTTCCCAAGCAATCGATAATCGTAAATCGAGACAAAATTCATACTGCATAACGTGCGGAAAAATACGATTGCATTCATATCGCATTTTAAAATTTAAAGTAAATTCTTGGACTATATGTTCAAATTCCCCACCTGAATGTCCTCCCGTATCAACGAATGTTAAACAAGGATAATTATCCATGTATTATTTTTAAACGATACATGGGAATGGTCTGTATTTCTTAAAATTAAGAGAAAAGAGAAAAACAAAAATGAATAAATTTATTGGAATATTTATAATTACATTGATCAACGACTAGTGAATTTACTCACTTTTGTAATTTTCACCTTGTTCCAAGATATATAATCGAAACTCTAATACATGAGTGCATATTCTCAAGTTTAAGAGTCCCAGCAAACGAGAATGGATTGAAATGGATTGAAATGGATTCAGATTTTCAGAAATATAGATTCACGAATGTGTTAAAATGAATGCTTTTCAATCCTGAATGCATTTTTATTCATTTATAGGAATTGCATGGAGCATATCTCAATGCCTTTCAATCTAAAAATAATATCAGCTTTTTCTGTGCATTGTGAATACTGTTCAATTCAAAATTTTGAATAGGAAATGCAGTTTTTCAATCTACTAGCCCATTATAAGCGCGCGCTTACCTCATATGACTCTAAGTTAATCCCGATTCTTATAAACTGGCCTATACATTGTTTCATATTAATTCGTTTTGCATATTCTCACCAAAATGGCATTTTAATTGTTTTGAACGATCTTTTTATCACGAAAGTAAATTATTTATTTTTTATTTTTTTCATTTGATGACTCTTAATTTTTATATTATTTAACATACTTATTTTCAAGTTTCGAATCTTGATATAAAACATTATTTTTTTCCTACATATTTTTAGTTTTTAAACTTAATGTACTTTAAAACTATTGAACTCTATATACATACACGGTGGGCCATTTTACCCAACCAAATTTCTCCGTCGGTAAGGCAGATACAGAAAAATAGTTCAGACAAAACTTGTTCAGGACAATGGGGGTTATTTATCTGTGCTAATGATTTTGACCTTTAGGTCGATTTTTAAGGTTATTTGAAGGTCAAGGTCATTTTTTTAAATGGAATTATACGAATTTTTTTACATAATATGATTCCTCTAATTATTCTGCATATAATACTTCAATTCGCTGAAATCGAAAGACTTTTAATAATAACGTCAAAAAAATTAGTTCATCCTTTTTGATTTAGATTCCTGATTCACACTGCATCCGATTTTCGTCGTACGACG